CCTAGAATTGTAGCTAGTACTACCAAGAATAGCTGTCCTAGCTACAAGTTATCAAGTTCCTACCAAGTGCTGGATCAACCCTGAATATTCGCTGGAAGAACTGATGCTGACGCTGAAGCTCTGATTCTTTGGTCACCAGATACAAAGAGCCAACTCATTGGAAAAAGACCCTGATGCTGGGAAAGACTGAGGGCAGGAGAAGGGGGTGACAAAGGACGAGGTGATTGGATGGCATCATCTACTCAATGGACATAAGCTTGAGCAAACTCAGGGAGATAGTGAAGGACAGGCAGCCCATAGAGTCGCAAAGAGTCAGACATAACTGAGAAACTGAACAACAACCAAGTGCTGGTCACAGTGTCAGGCGTTTACAGTTATTATTATTAATGTTTAAATTATGATCACAACATAGAGATGGACAAAGTGAGATTCAAAACAGCTGGAGTAACTTGGACCAAGGTCATGGAGCCAATAAGTAAATCTCAGAGGCAGGGTTTGAATCCAGGTTTTCTGATTCCAAAATCTGTTTTTCATTTTCCTAACCTGTATGAATGATGGGCAGTTCTGCATTACTGTGTGATTTGGGGTGTTTTAGGTCTTTGTCATCACTTTAAATACCATCTGTACGGCAACATAATGATGACTACATCTCTCAAAGTTTTACCTCCAGCCCAACCCTTTTCCAAACTCCAGACCTGCATTCCATTTAATACCTCAACTCCTCCACTGAGTGTCTAAAAAACAAATAAACAAACAAATGTTCAAATTCAAGCTCTTGATTTTACCCAGCATATCTCTCCACCTAATGTCATCTGTCCCAAGCTCAAGGAGCTACACTTTTCTTTCTTGACCATACTAAACACCGAGAGTCCTCCTTAGTTCTGCTCATTCCCTCACACCCCACATCCAATTGATCAGCATATCTTTTCAGCTTTTCGGAACACAACTGAATTTGATGACATTTGCTACCCTCATCATTTCCACCAAAGCCACCAGCATCCTCTGCCTTCATAAAGGCAGTAAACCCCCAATCTATTTTCTTATTTCCACCCTTTCCCCTGAAGCTATCTGTTCCCTACACAGCGGCCAGAGTGATCTTTTTCAAATCTGACTCAGGTGATGACATTCTTCTGCTGAAAACCCTCCAGTCTTCTCTCTCCATCTCATTCAGGGTAGACTGGGTGTCTTATCAACCATCTACTATGTCAGCCCTGACCTCCACTCTCAATGACCTCACCCCCTTCTACTCTCCGCCTTTCCCACTCTCCTCCGGGCACTCTGGGCTCCTGGTTGATTCTCGAACACAACAGGTACACTTCCACCTTCATCCTTTGCCTTCGTATTTGCTATTCACCTTTCTCCTTAGAGTTCCACGTTGCACTTCCTCACTTCCTTTGGCTCTTTACTCAAGTGCTATCTTTTCAGAGAGGACTTCCCTGATCATATGATTTAAAATAGTACCTCACAAAAATAAAATAAAATAAAATAGTACCTCGCCACTCCTCTCTTTTATACAGCTTTATTTTTGTTAATAGCATTTATCACTAGCTGACACTAGCTAAATTGTTTGTATTATCTCTCTCCTCTCAAACACACACATACACATGGATGTAGCTACTTGAGAGCAGGGACTAGCAGGTTCTATGTTGCATTACAGTGTCTAGAAGAACATTTGCCACACAGTAGGTACTTAGTAAATATTTGCAAATGAACAAACGAATAACAAATGCAAAGTGAAGGAGAGTGTGCATATTAAGCTAAAATAAAAAATTGACATGTAACACACTGAAAATTCTGATAGGAAATTTTAGGAATATGGATAAATTTTTACTTGTTTACTATCTAGAAAACATAACCATATTTTATTTAACTATCAAAACAAGATAATAGGCACATCAAAAGCATTTTCAGTTTTCAAAATATACTCTGGCAAAAATAGAGTAAGCGTAAGATTTTTCTGCCAAAATCAAGACACAAAGCTAATTTGATATGCAAGAATGCCTAATGAAGATAACAGCTCCTTAAGAAATAAGTCAAGGTTTTCATTGGAAATAGAGATACCAGTCTAGGTTGAAAATGCCAATTTTTTTTTTCCTGCGAATGACCATTTTATGGAATATAAACTAATGCTAATAAATACACAATGCCCTCTTAACTGTGCCTAAAATGCAGATAGCAACCTCAAGCATTTTTATCTTATAGCAAAAGGCACTTAAAATTAGAAAACCAGGATTTGAGCTTAGGATGTGCATTGTGAGGAATAAGACAAAGTCACTGAGAAAGTTACCTGCCAACTGTAGAGTATTATTTACAGCAAAGTTTGATGGTAAAGCATCTGCCTGCAATGCAGGAGACCCAGGTTCAATCCCTGGGTCGGGAAGATCCCCTGGAGAAGGAAACAGCCACCCACTCCAGTACTCTTGCCTGGAAAACCCCATGGACAGAGGAACCTGGTAGGCTACAGTCCATGGGGTTGCAAAGAGTCGGACACGACTGAGCGACTTCACTTTCACTTTCACAGTCAAATGTGCATTATCACCAAAAGACCAAAGAATGTGTTTATCTTCTCTTATATCTCTATTCCGAGGTAAGATAGCTGAGATAGAATAGTTTAATTCAGGCAATCAGAGCTTTTTAAAAAATCTACTTTTTCTGCATTAGAAGAAATGTGTAGCTTCACGCCATTTGTAAGGTTCTAGGAGAGTCAAACATTCAGTTCAGCAAATCTTAGATATACCTGGCTGCCTTCACATTTCAACTTACACCACTGCAGATCTCCTGACAGCTGTGCCCCTTGAAGGTTTTCTTTCTTCTGGGAAGTAAGTGCTAACTTTCAAATTCTTCAAATTCAAATCGTATCTTGATTCCTAAAGAGACTCCACCATAAACTTGGTTTTCAACACCCAGAGTCTCTGATCAGAACTTCTAAAACTACTCTCATCCTCTTCCACTGGAAGTGTCTTTTCCCAGAAGGCTTAATGTCAAGATTCCTGCGTCTTCTAACCATCTAGAATATTTTGGATTGGCGATGATAATATAGCTTTCATGAAATTTTCAAAAAAATATGCTATGTCCCCACAGAAGTTTTAAAACAACAATAACAACAACAATCCTGCCTTTTTTCTTTAATACTGAGCTTTCTTAATATTATTTCTTCATTCATATTGAAGGCAAAATAGATTTTTCTGACCTCTTCAAAACTTTCATTTTATCACTTGTTTTGCATCTAATAATTTATCTTCTTGATTCATTTGTCACTTACTTCTTCAACACATTTTCTCCTGATATTTACTATAAACAGAGCAATGGGCTAAATCTGAATTTTTTGACATGACTTTGTGTATAAATTGCAATTACATAGGGATGAACAATTATTTTTAGATACAATGAATAATTTATGGAAAGATTTATTCAGAGCACAGATTTTAACTACTCAAACATCATAATGGACCATAATTTATAGCTCATGAGACTCAAATCTAAATCTCAACTTTATTACTCATTCCTAAAGCCAACTCAAAGACATTTTTTATTCCTGTAAAATGTCTCTTTTATTTGAATAGCAGAAGTAAGGAATCATTATTGTTTAAAAAAACTCATGAGAAAATTATTAAATCTTAAAACATAAATATGAAATTAAAATATGTCTATGCAAAACCTGGGGGGTAATGGAGAGGAATGACCTAGAGGTTAAAAGGAAACTGAATTCCAGAATGCCGCGCTTCTACAGACGTCATTTGCCACATTGCCAGGCAAGTCTGGGGGCATGATTTACAGCCCAACACCCAGAACTGAGATGAGTTCCCTGTATCCATTTTATTCTATCTCCTGAATTCCTTATCTAATTCCCTACCATATCAGATTGAATTATTTTCTAGGCCTGCTAGGGAAAGTAAGCTTTTACACTGTAAGCCTTGAAGCAGGCCCTGGACTGACCATGTTGTAAGCCAAAGGCGATGACTCTTTCTAATTAGGAAACAAAATTTAACGTTGTCCCATCTGAGACTTTGCTTAAGTTTCAGTTTCCCCTTCCTTACCTCTGGCTCCTGACGTGTATCAGTTCCTTATCCCAAGGCTTCTGTGTTCTTCCTGTCAATGACCCTGACTGACATTGCTCCCGTCTTCCAAAGCTTTGCCTCCTTGGTCTTTCCAGCCCAAGCTGTCAGCCAAACCACTGTCCCTAGTCTGGAAGAAAACTTCTCATTTACAACTACTCTATTTAACTTAGATCAAATCACTATCTCCCACCAAGGTGTCATCAATTCCATTTCTAGGAAGTAGAATATACTACTTCATATATATACATATATATATTCATATATACTTCATAAGGAGAATAAAGAATGAAATGAGAATGCATGTGGGAAGAGATAACTGCAGCAGGACCTGTGAGTTGAATAAAACACAGGAACAAGTGACCAAAAACAAAACAAAAATTAAATAGAAAATCAATGCAAATGACACTTGGGAAAAGAATTGGAAGAAATAATTGAAAGACTAATGCATACACAGTCATATCACAATTACAAACATTTGCAACTCAAAGCTTTCAAATACTAAAGTGAAAAGCAGAAAGTAGTAAAAATTAAGATCAAAAAGAAATAAAATTGTATAATTCAGAATATGAAGATATATTCCAAATGTAAAAGTAGTAGAGAAAATTAGTTCGCAGAGTTTACCCATTACATAACCTTGTAAAATTTGAAGACTTATAAAAGGAGAGCCTGGTAACATTGTCAAAGTTAATGAAGAAGTCTTGGATGTAGTAGGCAATTCAGAAGGGAGCAGAGGAAGAAAGAAATAAGTAGTGAGTCAAGGAGAGAAGAAATACTTATAATATGGGGAAAAGTGGTTCACTTACCTATGATCCCATTTGGCAATAACACTAAACTGTTGAGAAAGAGGGAAAAAAGAAAGAGCATATAGTGTTGCCAACCACATACATTTTTGAAAAATTCTCATCTCAATAAGTTAGTCAAAGAGCAAAATCATTTAAGTGACTATTTGATAAAAGGATATGAATGTACCAAAATCTTAATAGCTAATTTTCTAATAGGGTTGAAGGGAGTTAAAATGTACAGGGCAGGAGTGGCACTGAATCGAGAGATTGCTTTCCCTTTATTCAATACTATAAATGTCTGAAAAAGAAAACAAACACGTAAAACAGAATTTAGAAATGCAATATTAAAACTAAGAACAATTTAAGAAAAAAGTGATACAATTTCTTTAGAAATATGATTTTATAAAATAATAATATACTATCAACACATGACATGATGCTATGTGTTTCCTCTTTCTGAATGCTATAAACTTCCCTAATTTGGTGAGAGACATGAGGATTTAAAGAACATAAAGAAAATGTACAGTCATTACCATAGAAATACTTAGCATCATCATCAAGTTTTAATATCAGTATTTTCAAAATGTATTTATAATTCACAAAGAGCTCAAGAATGAGGCTTTGATTACTTTTTTCAGTTTGATAAAAAGCCTTCTCACAGGAACTTCAGTGTTTTCTGGAGGTGCTATTTGATCAAATGCTTTTAAGGGGTGCTTAGAAGTCACCTGCTTTTATTTCTTATTGAGGGAAGCATGGAATAGGCAAAATTTATGGTGTGAAGGAATAAACCTGCTGAAGATCAAAGTGCCTTATGTAGAGCTAGATATTGTAAAGAGGACTTTGGATACTACTTCTGGAAATATTGTTTTTAATGCATAAAAAATAAACTCCTTGTCTTTACTTTCTGCTTCACCACACTGTAAGGTGAGCAGACTTTTGCCCTTCCTCATTTCCCCCACTGCAAGATGCTCTTAAGCTCTCTGCCTGTCCTGGCCGTGGGTTCAAATAAGTGCTTCCCAAAGACTAGGACAATGGGGCCATTGCATGCTCAAGCCCATTACTACCATAGAGATACTTCAGACAGAGGGGAGATGGCACATTCTTCACCTAACATGCGGCACTAGCCCAGAAGCAATTAGGAAGCAGAGGAAATAAAGGCAACTTGACTAAGAACTCACTTTCTTATTGATATAATAGGGATCCAGATCCTCCAGCGGCTCTGACACCATCTCTGGAGGAATGTCTCCATAAATAAATGGAAGGGATTTTCCCGCTTCCAAGTCACTGTTTGGCTTTGGGCCACTTTCATCATCCTCATCCTTGCGCTCTTGCTTGGGTCTCTTGGCTTTCTCTTCTGCAATGCGTTGTTCAATAGCAGCAAGGGATTCCCTGGTAAAGAAGCGGAAGCTGTCAGGTCCTGGCGGTACCAGCACTGACTGTGCCATCTTTTCATCCTGCTCCTTTAATCACTGTTTGGCTCCTTGCATAAGAAAGTGCTACGGAAACAACAGAGAGAGAGAGAGAGAGAGGGGGAAAAAGGCAATGGTCATTAGGATAAAAGGGCAATGACATGACACTGAGGTGACATACATACAAACGAAGCTATCTGTAATATTTTACTAAGGAAGCTGCACTTGGCATTCAGGGGATTCGCCTGCATGCATTCATCTGCTTGCACAGAGATCTATCTTTCACATTCAGTAGGTGTCTATGAGGTAATCTAATCTCCCACTCCCAAAATGTTTTAAGTGAAAATATCCAACTCGGAGCTCAGAAATGGAGGATACTGGTTTGTGCTTGCTGCTTCACTTGTGTGAATTATTTTGGCAGCCATCTTTTTCAGCATCCTTTCTGAAAAAAAAAAATATTTCAGAGATCCATAACCAGAGATGAATAATCACTCAAAATTGTAGAACTGGGGTGTATGAAGATCTTGCTCCATTTTTTTTCCCATGTTCCTTTTGCCCCACTCTCCACCTTAAAGAGCTGATTCGGAAATCAATGCACCTGGTAAAGAGCTCTGGAAATCCTGAAATGCCAGGCTGTGGAAACCTAGGTAGATCCTGCTTGAAAGCAAGGAGCGGGAAGGAGCAGGGGATGCCCGGTTGTATTTGGAATTGCTCGGAAGCTACACAGGAAGGGACCTGGCTCCTGCCAAAGCAGGCAGGAAGTCACCCCTGTCAGAGGTCTGGAGCTTGGACCCCCTGGTTGAGCACCTGCTGCTAGCTAGTGTAATTGCTTCTTAAATTAACAAATCTGCAGTACCTTAGGAAATGCTGTAGATATAGCTCATTTTCTCAAATGGTGCCCATTTCTTAAAAATCCACACAGCAGATTTGGACTTGAAAAACTAATAAGTTGAAGATAGTTTATTTTTAACATGAGCTCCATTTATTTTGGTTTTTGTGGTAACATAAATGTGGTTTTACTGTATTCTAACCGTATTTTACTGGGCTATGGGCTAGCATATCTAACTTAAGTGAGCACACCAATCATTTCAAACGTTATCTCTGAATCAGTGGCAAGAGTTTCTATGCTTTCTGAAATAATATAACCAAAATTTTGACTCCTGAATGCCACCTATTACAATCACTTCTCTATTTTCCTTCTTTGTAAAATATCAGTCCATTTTAACCCTTACCCTACAGGAATGAGCATTACCATTTAATTATATGAGGTGCATTATCTAAGAGTAAAATTCATTCATATCCAGGTCACTTCTGCAGCATATGTCAGATCAAATAGGGAAATCTAAAATAACAGAATTACTGCATCATTTCCACATTTTTTTGAAGTAGACCAGGACCTTTCAGCCACCAGCTAGGAGACTGTCCTCTCAGAATCACAGTGCCTCTAAAACATCCCTCATTTTCCTAACCCATCCCCAGAGACCCTTATGCCTAGCGACAGGCACAGTCATGAAGAAGGTCCCGGCACACTTCAGGGAGGAAACTGCCATGCCTGGATGCTCTAATAGAAGAGACATGCTAAAACATGCAGCCAGCAGCTTCAAAATGAAAGTGGTCCTCTGCAGATTCCCCCAGGATTCTACTGTAAAGGTAGAAAAGCATCACAGAAAATAAGCATAATAAGAATATTAAAACATTACCCCTGCAGAGTCTTTTACACCCAGAGTTTAGGATTGATAAGCTGGCACCAAGAAGACTGCAGCTAAAATTCCATCATGCTTTTTTTCTTTTTTTCATTTTTTTTTTTTTTTAATTCTCCTTCAAAGACCACACCTAACTTCCTGTGAAAGGATTCTGGTAACTGAAGTAAGACCAGGCATTTCCTGTGTGGGGACTACAAAATGGTATTATCACAGCTACCACTAGAGGGCAGAGGAGCAGTGAAGAGAAAACCCTCAATGTACACACAGAAGCGTGTTTGAAGCAGCTCAAAGCTCTTAGTAATGGAGCTCTGATCTTCTAAAGGCTTTTCTTAGAACGTTAAGACTTAGCTAGTTTCAATCACTACTTTTGTTAATGAACAGTGCTTTTGTTCATGCTTTTTATTTGCTAAGCCAAAAGTCACTGAATGGATAAAAATAATTCAAAGTAAAAAGAAGGTAAATAATAAAGGGTTAAAAATAAAAACTTATAAAACAGCAATTATATTAATGAAAGTCTTACCTACATGGGATTTAACATTAACCTCAGCCCCAGAGTTTCTGAAATCCAGTAAAGGCCTTTGCTAGTTCAACAAAGAGCTATCTAAACTAACTTTCCCTAGAAATAAAATTAAACTAATGGGACACCAATCTTATTGTATCTCTAATTTAAGTGGATGAAAAGCAACCAAAAAAACCTGAAGGCCAAAAGGAGACTAAATTCCAGTAATTATATTAATAACATAGTTAAGATTTGAGGGTTAATATGTGCCAGTCATTGACTGGGCTGAGTCTGCATATACTGTATCATTCCATCTCCCCACAATTCCATCAGATAAAGACTTTCATGATCCTTATTTGAAAATTTAAGAAAGGAAATACATCGAGGTTAGGAAAAGTCACCTCAAATCACACAGTCAGGATTCAGACTCAAAATCTGTGAGCTTTATTCAATTGTAAACAACACAAAAACCGAAACACCTGCTTATGTAAGTAAACCTAAAATAAAGATTAAGTAAAATCCATAAGAGGGAACAAGTATAATCAGAAACAGTCATAATTGTAGTGCTAAAGGTAAAGAACTCGCCTGCCAGTGTAGGAGACACAGGAGACTAGGGTCCAATCCCTGGGTCTAGAAGATCCCCTGGGGTAGAAAATGGCAACCCACTCCAGTATTCTTGCCTGGAAAATTCCACGGACAGAGGAGCCTGGTGGGCTGTAGTCCATAGGGTTTCAGAGAGTCAGACACAACTGAGCAACTGACCACATCTACATTTTTTGCATATTTTCTGGCATCACCATTTTCATTAGAAAGGGTATTTTTTTTAAAGTGTCAGACCTGTGGTTTTCTTTTTCCAAACTTTAAACTTTTCACTTTGTATTGGGGTATAGCTGATCCAACAATGTTGTGATAGTTCCAGGTTCACAGCAAAGGGATTCACCCACACATACATATCCACTCTCCCCCAAGCCTCCCTCCCATCCAAGCTGGCACATAACATTGAGTAGAGTTCCATATGCAATAGGTTGGTTATCCATTTTGAATATAGTGTTGTGTACATGACCTTCCCAAACTCCTTAACTATCCCTTCTGCTGTCAACCAAAAGTATATTTTCTAAGTCTGTGGGTCTTTTTCTTTTACTTCCGCAGGTAAATTCATTTGTATCATTAGAAAAACTGTTTAAGATGGGCAAGAAGCAGATATTGCCAAAAAAATAATTTTGTAATTCATTCTAGCAAGTCTCTTATGGTAATAGAAGCAAAAAAAAAAAAAAAAAAAAGTGAAGTCGCTCAGTCATGTCTGATTCTCTGTGATCCCATGGACTGTAATCTACCAGGCTTCTCAGTCCATGGGATTTTCCAGGCAAGAGTACTGGAATGGGTTGCCATTTCCTTCTCCAGGGGATCTTCCCCACCCAGGGATTGAACCCAGGTCTCCTGCATTGCAGACAGACGCTTTACCCTCTTAACCACCAGGGAAGCCCCAAGATAGCTTAGGTAAGAGAAAGAAAGAAAGAAAAAAAAAGGAAGAAATGATTAGGAGGAAGGATGGGGGGAGGAAAGTGGGGAGAGAGAGAAGGATGAGAGAAAATAGAAAGAAAGAAAGGAAAGGTAACATGGGAATTCACTGTCAAGGTTTGTTGTCTAAGGCTAGCTATAGGCATAAAATGCTTTGGAAGCCCAATTGATGTTACCAGAATCTAGTTACGCTATATGTTTTGGCTCTAACTTCCATGGTGACAGCTTTTCATTCCTTGCTATAGTAAGATGCTATAGCATCCCTGGCTTCCCAGTCTCCCAGAATTAAATCCAATAGGGACAAAGACCCAGAGAAAATCTCATTGCATCTCATTAGCGTCAGTTGGGTCACATGCTTATCCCGAAGCAATCACTCTGTCCAGGGAGATGCCATGCTTTGTGCTTTGATTGGCTTCTCCCAAGCCAATGCCTCATCCTGGAACTAGGAGGAGGTTCTGCTTGAAACCTATGAACAGTGAGGATTGTGGTGGGGCACAGCAACATTCCTGAAATGCAGAGCTTGTGTACTATCACTGGAATAAAAGGGGGTCCACGCTGGTCAACAAAGCAAACAAGCAAACAAGTATGCACACTAGTCACAGACTGGTCATATTTGCAGTGTCTCAGTACTCAGGAGAGTAACTCTGTGTGTGGGTGTTTGTGTAGGTGTATACACACATATATATGGAGAGTACAAGGGGTATGTCTATACATATATATCCTATTTTCTAGCTTCATCATTTTCATTAGGAAAAGTTTCATTGTCTTCCCTGTACATCATTTTATAAACTTAGAAACCAGGCAAGAAATTTAGATTACTTCCTCAAAGTAACTTGTCCTACCACAATAAAATATTTTACAAACCTCTATGATGAGCACTAACTTCATTTATCAAATGAACACAAGCATACTACAGAGATAGTTCAGGTTTGGTCCTAGACTACTGTGATAAAGTGAATATTACAATAAAGTCAGTCACAGGAATTTTTTGGTTTCCCAGTGCATATACAAGTTATGTTTACACTATAGTGTAAGTGTGCAATAGCTTTATGTCTTAAAAATGTACAGACCTTAATTTAAACTTAATTTATTGCTAAAAATTACTAAAAATTCTAATCATCTGAGCCTTCAGTGAGTCATTATCTTTTTGTAACAGTAACATCAAAGGCCACTTATCATTGATCACTGTAACAAATACAATAATAATAAAATGCTTGAAATATTTTGAAAATTACCAAAGTATGACACAGAGACAGGAAGTGATTAAAGACTGTTGGAAAAATGATGATGATAGACTTGCTCAGCAAACAGTTGCT